CACTTTTGACTCTCGATGTGGCACGTAGTCGAACCCCTTCGCCCGTAGTCACTGGGCTCGTCGGCAATCAGAACACAGGGTACCGGGCCAATACGGGGCGACAGCGGGCCATAGTATCACAATCAACGCGTTAGAAGGCAACAAAATGGAATATGGAGCAAAGATAGTGTCCACAATCACAAACCCAAAGGCGATGAAGGTCGAACACTCTGCTCCTAACAGGAAATGATAAGGTTGGCCAACCTGTGCTACAGCTTCACGCACATCCCACTCCCATACAAGTGGCTGCTCTCAGTTATACGGAAACTGGGACACAGGGTGGGATCTTTGCGCAATGTTGAAACAGAAGACTGGGAGGTCCGAGCAAACATCGTAAAATCCACACTCGATCACAAAATAAAGGAGTCATTCATCATGCCCATGCGGCGCATCCACCGTTCACAAACAAATCTTCTACCTCCTGCTTGCATGGCAGATTCGGAAGAGTGTAACACGAATGCCACTCGCATTCGCCTTCCAAAAGTGCAGTCGAGAGTCAAGCCTACGAGCCTTTTCTACCTACGTAGTTAGTGCATCAATCGTCATGTCACATAGGGCCATTACTCAAAAGAAAGATCATACATTAAGCAACATACGTCAGTTCATGCATCGAAAGAAGGGCGTCCATTCCACACATACACACAAAGTCGTAAATGATCAATCCAAAAAGGTGCGGTGAAGAGAAATAATCTACGTCCATTCCACACATACACACAAAGTCGTAAATGATCAATCCAAAAAGGTGCGGTGAAGAGAAATAATCTATGTCCACCATTCATATGAAAAGACAGAATTGATACACTCTTGTGCTTCCAATCGGATCCAGCTCTCTCGCACAGGCTTCTTGCAAGCGGAAGTGCATAGCGAGAAGCATTCGAGAAGAAAGTCCATGCACACAACTATACCCAGACTAACTCACGCATTCAACCACGCAATGAGAATGAGAGATCCGTCAACCAAAATAAAGGGGATACACACAACAGAGACATAGACATGGAAGGTGGCGATCTGCCATGCAAACACTTATTCCGGAATCCAAAGAAGAAGAGACATAGATCCATCCGCTCTCATAAACTTGGCACCCTGGCCAACCAGCAACCCACCATTTCTTACCCAACTCGAGTACCGACGACCCCCGTCGCCACACACTGAGTACTCCTACCAGCAATCGTCACCCCATCAGCTCGGCCTCTGCACTGATCCGCCCAGATCCTGCATTCCATCACAGTGATGCGGTGCGCGATCCCGCAAAGATGCAGCAGACCCGTCGGGACTGTTCGACTCGCTGATCACCACCAAAGCCTAGCAACTACTCCATCGGAGTTGGCACTTAGGATGCAAGAGAGAAGAGCGCGGATGGAACGTGCCTGCAAAATTTATAGTTGTGAAGAGGACGGAAAAGGCATGATGGAGAAGGGAAGGGAAAGAGAGATAGAGGGACGAGGGTGCTCGGTTGGGTCATGTTGATCTGATCGAATTGATCGCAGACAATCGGATCGCACTGTGAGCGGCTTGGAGCCTCTCTACACGCTGCCATCCGGCTGCTATGGTCACTTGGATCAGCAAGGTCCTTTCCAAATTTAGATGAAGGCGGGAAAAGAGGTTATGAGAGACGGTGTAAGGCAAGGCAAAGATTCAACGGTATCAAGAAGGAGGAGAGGGCGCGATGAAGGGGAGAAGAAGAGACTTACAGCTTAGCGGTGAGGGCGCGAAGAAGGAGGACGAAGTGCGCACGGAAAGATTGCATGCAGAAGCGCGCGCACAGCGAATGCATTCACGGAAAACGTAAAGGCACCAAAACAGTTACGCAAAATCCCAGTGAAGCTGCACGTAATTCCTACAGGCAAATTGAAATTGAACATTTTGAAAAGAAATTCCGAGCGTGCTCGCTAAGGCATGCGAAAATCCTACGTTGATTCTTGTCCCTACTATTCGAAAACAGAAAACAGAAATTCACACAAGTTGCAAGGGCAGTTCCAAAATTCACGAAAAGAAAGACGACCTCAAAAGTGGATTAACCGATGCAAGCCACCCACGGATATCCCACCAAAGTCAAAGCCTGAAGAATTGCGCCGGAATCCCGAAAGCACAACTAAAAACGTAGTGTACTGGTGACGCAAAAAGTTACTGCAAAATGCAAGAGCGCAACAAATTGAAATGGTTGATAGTTCGATCAATGCGCCTAGCTCAGTTGGTACACCCTTGAACCCTTGAACTGTGGAAATACAGACCTGAGATTGAAACCCGATGAGCCTAGATGAATGGAATGAAATAATTCTTGCAAGGAAGATGAGCTATAGCGAACTTCAGCAATCAAACAGCATTATACACATGAGACCAGATAGTCGTGACCTCGAACCAAAAGCAGAATAGCATCACGAGTTTCACCAAACAAGAGCACACCAAAAGCTCATAATTGACAATGCTGAAATAGTCTCATCATCATCACTCGAAGAACCAATGTTGATATCCTATCTGGCGCTCGGCGCCCAGACTACGAATGGCAGATCCTATCTAGCATAGACTACAATGTCGCTGATGACGTCAACAGCTTCCCAAGTACGAGCAGACCTCGGCCAATGCCGCACGCGTCAAGCACCAGATATGTCTCTCGTATCACTCAAAACCTCGTTCCCCAACTCACAGATGCCACTTGCACCCAAGGACCACCATGCGCCCCATCCAGCATACAGCAGTGCAGCTCGGCTATGGCTGCCTGCTCCTTCCAGCTCGCCCGTGAGCGCGTGAGCCTGGCAGGTGATAGTGCAGCAGCGCTTGCGCACAAAGCAGCCAGTGCCCGAATGTCCAATGCGTGGGCAGGCCCTTCCCTATATCGAAGTGGCCTGCTGCTGCTTGCTGTGCTGCGGTACTGGGCCCCGTCCCAGAAGCTTCCGGTAGGCCCAGGGAGGCTGAGCCTCAGTCCGAAGGAAACAGGCCCAGGGCCTGTGGCGGTTACCAGCACCCAACTGCCCTCAGTCTTTGTTCGGTCCACTTCGTGTACCCGGCCCAGGGCCTGCCTCAGTTACATGCAATGAAAAGCAGCCTGGGCCTGGGTGCTTCCAACCGACTGGCGCTGCGCAACTGCCTGAATTACCCCAGTCGCGTGGTGACCCTGAAATGGCCTGTAGGGCCTCGGTCGTGCCTGCCTTCACGTAGGGCGGCCGACTGTGTGAAAATTAGGCCCTGTAGGGCATATCGAGGCCCTATGCCTCACATTCTGAATTACCTGGGTCAGTCCAGCTCGATGATGATATCTCATGGCAGTCGCCCTTTCAAGACAAAACAAAAAAAAAGAAGTTGAAAGTTACCGAATTCCTCTAGAATGCTACTGTTGCCCCAACCGGTGAACACTGTCAGCATGTGCTGACTCGTTGTTGGTTGGTGCATGGCTGCAATGAATTTTGCTATATAACTGTCCAGAGAGAGCCTCGGCGCCCGATGAAATACTTGAACCCTCAAAGAAGAGATCCCTCAAATGCGTCCCTCGTAGTCCCTCGTATAATGTTGTAATCCTGGGTGGCACAGAGTGGAAATGCTCGCCCACAAGGACAATTGCTAGGGTCTAGAGGGGACACGTTCCATGTTATGTTGACTGCGACGTCCGAGAAATTGCAGAACTGTACGCAACTGGGGTTGTCACGGATGCGTGCATGTGTATGTGCTGTCTCTTATACACATCTAGATGTGTATAAGAGACAGGTGTGTGTTTGCGAACAGAAAGAAACTGTTACCGTCATCTACTTGAACTACTTCATATTGATGAGCGATCTGCCTACCACTGTTTCTTTTAAGATGTTACTTATCTACAGCTCAATTCGAGCTTCAACACATTCACCCTTTTCACTCTGAGGCTGAGAGGTTCGGTACAGGTTCAAAACCCGAGAATACTGGTTTTTTTTTTTTTTTTTCCTGAGTCAGGATTTGTGAAAGGATTCATGCTGCAGACACCAAGTCCCAGGGCCGTCCCGTAGGGTAGGCCGTAGGGTCTAGAGGCCGAAGCGTCGTAGGTCGGTAGGTTTCGGTACCGAAGCGCCGTAGGTCGGTAGGAGTCTGTCCTGTACCGGACAAGAAAAGTCCAGAGGCGTCCAGTCCAGTCCGATAGTCCCAAGTCTGAAGGAGTCTGTCCGCATGTCCCAGGAAAGTCCTGAAGGCGCCTTAGGTCGGTAGGAGTCTGTCGGCATGTCCCAGGAAAGTCCTGAAGCTACCGGACAGACAACATGTTTGCGGCAGACAGGCCGCGGCCGACCGGTACCCGTCTGAAGCAGGCCAAGCCAAGCCGAGCCCAGCGAAGCCAAGTCCTATATTTAGCTGCTACAGTGCAGCGGCTCATCACTCGTTCAGTTGCAAGATGTGAAAGCGCTGCTGCTGCTTGTGTGTTAAGGCAACTTGTGCACTGTATGCCCGAAGAAGAAGAGGGCGCTTGAGAGATACTCCATAGCTAGGCTAGCGGTACAGTAGGAGGACGGCGGCCATAGCCTCCAAGGTGTAAGCTACCTGAGTGGGTGTATCCCAGGGTAATGATACAGGGTAGAGAGAGAGAGAGAGAGAGAGAGAGAGAGAGAGAGAGAGAGAGAGAGAGAGAGAGAGAGAGAGAGAGAGAGAGAGAGAGAGAGAGAGNGTGTGTGTGTGTGTGTGTGTGTGTGTGTGTGTGTGTGTGTGTGTGTGTGTGTGTGTGCTCGTGTGCGCGTGTGTGTGTTGTCAAAGAGCCTCAAACTCTACCCTCATTGCATCCATAAATCATCCACAAACCATTCACAAAACAGAGAAAGTATAAAGGCAATAGAATGGAAGATGCAAGGTTGGCCATGTTTATGTGGTTAAGCGCCAAGTGCCTACACATCCGTCTGCCACCTGAGCGGCACACTTGCACAAATTTATATTTTTGTGTGCGTGTGTGTGTGTGTTTGTGCTTTTGCGTTTTATTTTATTTTTTTGTGTGTGTATGTCCGCCTGTTTTGCAGTCCAAACACCCTTCAGCGCTGGACAGCTTCCATAAGTTGATTAATGCGGGGGAAGGAAAAGAAGTGGTGTTATTCCTCGACTACGATGGCACTCTATCTCCCATAGTAGAAGATCCTGACATCGCCTACATGACTGAAGGGGTGAGGGAGCTGCAGTTCTTATTCCAGCTGACTGTCGTCATTTTTTAATCCAAACGAGCAATCGACATGGGTGGCTTTTTCGCAAGTTTGCTAATTGGTTGTGGTTAGTGGCTTTTCTCTTCTCCATCTCATCATCTTCAGATTGATTTTACAGTCCTCGAGTAAAAGTTTTAGTGCTTTCGTTTTTTTCGTTTTGAGACCAGTTTGGTTTCCTCGCTGTCTGGCCTACATTCCAATGATTCCATACAAATGTTTGGTTGCCACCCCTATTGTTTTCACATGAGCAGCGGTCAGTTAATTGCTCTCTCCACTACCCAGAGCATGCCATGTTTCCTAATTGCTGTCATCATGGTTAACGGGGGTCCGGGGGGAAGGTTCTACTACTCTCTAGGTATGCGTTGTGACGTTTTGGTTTCTCCAACTTCCAATGTCTTCTCATCCTTCATTTCACAGGACAGCCTTAGGGCCTGAATTCTTTGAACCAATTTCTGCACTAATACTCGGTCCACCTTGGATTTCCTGTGTTGCCACCTTCTCTTCCAACTCCCGAAGCCACTTCATGAGCCTATCTTGGGCTGCAATCCTGTCTGCTTCCTCCACGTACCCTTTTCTCCCTTTCAGCGCTCCCCTTTGTTCCTACCCCCTGGGTCCCTGTCGAACTACCCTCTTCTGTCCACCTTGGATTTCCTGCCTTAATGATGCAGATAGACCGGTGTGAAACCTTGAACTCTAACCATTCATACGGGATCAGGCTTTTATTGTTGGTTTGACTCGTTTGAGAGCAAGCTTTTGAATCACTGGAGCAGGAAATCCAAGGTGCAGTGGGTGGGAGAGAGAGAGAGAGAGAGAGAGAGAGAGAGAGAGAGAGAGAGAGAGAGAGAGAGAGAGAGAGAGAGAGAGAGAGAGAGAGAGTCTCATCACGGCGGCAACCACTCCTTTCATTAATTTAATAATTTCAGCTTTGCTGGACAGTAGACAAAGTCATGGTCACAGGGATATGTCGCCATCTGTTCCTGGCATGACGTCAATCATGGGGATCACACTTTCGTTTTTCCCTTTTTTTTGCCCCTTCCATAGTTCCCGTCAGTCGAAAATTTTGAAAATTGTACCTTTACCTGTACCCATCTCCCTGTACCTGCTTCGTGGCAGAATGGTGCCCACTCAGAAATGTCCAACCACAGAGGAAGAGTTCATGTCCTGTCCGCTTCAACACTGTTCTCGGGAAACACCTCGGCATGGGACGCTAAGGGTTATCGGTTGGATTCCCGGCCTTCCGACATTCTTCCTAGTGGATCCCAGCCTTCCGCCCGACTCTGCTCTATGCGGGGAGTGGTACCCCGGCTCCTGAGTCCTAACACCTGGCGCAAGCTGGAAAGCGCAGAGATACTTCCGCAACCAGCCAGGAGGCCCAAGCCAATTATCTCAACTGGTGAACCCGAAGAGTATCGCAGGGGGGCGCGGGGGATGGAATGGACGACGTGGGGAATCGAACCCACGACCTCCTGAATACCACTTACGTGCTCAACCAACTGAGCTGGCCCACTTGGGCTTGCCCCTGTATTGTACTTTGTATTAGCTTGGTGAGCTTTTTCCTCCTCTTTTTTTTTTTTTTTTTTTTTTTTTTAAAGATCAATTATTA